TAATGTTCCTATAGATGTTTCCTTGTGAGATTTACTGTGTGAGTTTGTGTTGGCTCTTTTACCAACTAATAATAGTAGGTTAGTATCCAAGTTCAACTGTTTTGAGTTTGGTATTTCTAATGAAACAAGTGTTTTGAGTTGTTTTGTTCTTTACAAGGATTTCTATTCATTGTTCATATACTGCTTTGAAATTTACAAATTAATGTTTGCTTTATGACAATTTTATTATTTACTTTGCAGTTTAAAATGTTAATTATCTTTGTGCATGTCTATCGTGGTCCTGGTCCATATATATATGCTGTGATAAATGAGATCATTCATTATTCAGTGGATAACCAGTAGTTATTTAAAACTACAGTGTGAACACTCAAGTACCAAGAGGACAGTCTAAGCCATTATAGACCATTTCTAAAGCCTCTAAGGACCCTCATAGTGGCTCAATTTCTCTGACAGTTACAATCAGGTCATTTTATACGTATGGAAAAAAATGCATTTAAATGGAAATTTCTACTGTTAATTTACTCATATCTGATTTTTTAAAACTGTGTTTTGGGTATATTTTAAATTTTCAATTCAAACTAATTGCTGAAAACCAGTCTAAAATTTTTGATTTTTGTTTCGATAACATTTTAACTATAAAATTTCTAAGATATTCTTTTTTCAAATCCTATGATGTTACATATAAATACATCCTCTTATTTGAGTCTGTCTACTACCACTTTCTTACTGCAGTGAGGAAACTCCTCAAAATTTACTGGGAATTCATAATTTTTGCAACCGTTACAGTATGTAGTGAAGGCCAAACCAAATCCAAACCCATTGCCATCAAGTTGATTCCCACTCAGCAACCCTATCGGACAGAGTAGAACTGCCCCAGGGGGTTTCCAAGGCTGTAAATCTTTTACGGAAGCAGATTTCTTTCTCCTGAAGAGTGGCTGATGCATTTGAACCACTGAGCTTTCGGTTAAAGCTGAGCATTTAACCACTGGGCACCAGGGCTCCTTGTAATGAGGGCATTGCTGGTTTAATGGTAGAATTCTTGTCTTCCATACAGAGATTCCTGGCCAAGCGTAGCCACCGCTTGTCTGCCAGTGGAGACTTGAGTGTTGCTGTAATGCTGAACAAGTTACAGCGGAGCTTCCAGACCAAGGCTGACTAGAAAGGAAGGGCTGGTGATCTACTTCCAAAAATCAGCCAGTGAAAACCCTATGGATCACAACAATCCAATCATGTTGCTCATGGGGTCGCGGTGAATCAAGGGCCGACTCGGTGGCAGCTAACAACAACCATATGAAGTGTCTGTGTAATGGTTGCTTGTTTTAGACTGCACGCACCTCGTGTCGGGAAACCCAGAGTAGGATATAGCAAATAAGGCTGGGAATGACTGCCGAGTTCATGGTGGCTCTCCTTTCTTTGAGAGTGCCCCCCAGTGCTGTGCTTCTGCTCTGGCTGTAGTGGATTCATGGCATCTCGTGTTTGCTTGCCAACTAGGTGGTCTACCCTGGGGATTTAAAATTTGTACCCTAGACTCTGAAATTTGGCATGGTTAGAGCTGAGTCAGGTTATTGATGATACTCTAGTAAAAAGGTCCTTGAGTTTCTGATGTTCCTTTTCAAAAGTCCGTGAGTTGCCTAGGTTCTCACTCTCCCTGAGTCTAGTCATACACCACACTTTGATTCGGGTAAGAGTGTTCTTTTTACATAAGCTACCCAGAGATTGTTTCTGTTGCTTGCTACTAAAGAAATGGAATCACACAAACATGGTATTAGAGCTGTGTGATGGATATATCCTGGAATGTATTCCTTTGACTGGTAACTGCATGTCTGCCTCCCCACTCTTCAAAGAAGTCTGGTTCTTAACTCTGTGTTTACAAACTAAGTGCAAATACCTGATATAAATAGACCTTTTGTAGCTCAGCCTCATATGGTTCCCTTCTTGTAGGTTTTCAGAATACCTTCTGCATGCTTTCATAACAGCACGTATCGCACTAAATTGTTATAACGTATTAGGCCGGCTCCTCATTAGACAACAGCTACTTAAGGTCAGGTACTTGAAACATTCAGACTTGATTCCTAGCACATTGCATGTAATAGCCATTAAACAAATGCTTATTGAGTTGATTAGTTCTCATTTTATATTATTCATTCAACAAATACTTATTGTGAGTGCTTCTGTGCCAGATACTATTCTGTGTTCTGGGGATACCTCAGTAAAGAAACCAATCAAAATATGCCTGCCTTGCTCAGCATTGATAGTCACTTAAAAAAAAACCAAACCTGTTGCCATCAAGTCGATTCCAACTCATAGCAACCCTATAGGACAGAGTAGAACTGCTCCATAGGGTTTCCAGGAAGCGGCTGGTGGATTCGAACCGTCGACCTTTTGGTTAGCAGCCGCAGCTCTTATCTGCTGTGCCACCAGAGCTCCTGATAGTCACTGGGAAAGTGCAAATCAAAACCTTAATGAAATACCATTTCACACCTTTAAAATCTAAAAAAAGAGGAAAGTAACAGGTATTGGCGAGGATGTGGAAAAATTGGAATCCTTGTCCATTGCTGGTGGGAATGTAAAATGGTGCAGCCACTGTGGAAAACAGTTCGGCGATTCCTTAAAAAGTTAAATATAGAATTATCATGTGACCCAGCAGTTCCACTCCTAGGTATATACCCTACAGAACTGAAAGCAGGGACTCAGATATTTGTACACCTGTGTTCATAGCAATATTATTTACAGTAGCCAGAAGGTAGAAACAACCCACATGTCCATCCCCAGATGAATGGATAAACAAAATGTGGTACATACATACAATCAAATATTATTTAGCCATAAAAAGGATTGAATTTTTAATACATGCTACAGGGTGCATAAACCTTGAAAATATGCTAAGTAAAATAAGCCAGACACAAAAGGACAAATATTGTATGATTCCACTTATGTGAACTGTTTAGAACAGACAAATTCATAAAGACAGAAAGTGGGCTGGTGGTTACCAGAGGCTAGGGAGAGGAGAAATAGGAAGTTACTGCTTAATGGGGACAGGGTTTCTGTCGAGGGTGATGAAGAGGTTTTGGAAATAGTAGTGATAGTTGCACAGCATTGTGAATGTAGCTAATGCCACTGAATTGTATACTTAAAATGGCAAATTTTATATTTTACCACAATAAAAAAAAATTTAATGTCTTCTTAGAGCTTACATTCTAAATAGTTAATTTTTCATCTACAGTTTTTTAAAATATAGAAACATTAAATTATGAGGTATGGCTAAAAGTAAACTTTTAGAAACATGGAGTATTGTACTGTAATGCAAGATTCTGTGTACTAGTACTATCACATTTAATAGATGAATGTTCGTTTCAGTAGAGTAATAGGATGTGTGACTGACAAGGAATCTAGCACTATGCCAAATGCCCAGTGATAACTCAGGAAAAATGTGTTGGGGAAATTTTGAAAGGTTTATGATTTCAGAAAATTTTCTGAACACAATATATTTGAGTATGTATAAGCAATTAGTATTTCTTTTGAACACTGCTGTCAAGGTGGTGCTAAAATATAGAGGAAACAAACCCTCAAACTTTCATTTTGTAGACTTCGGTATTATACATTTTTATACTCTAAAGTTGTAGTCACAGCATACTTGGTCTTCTTTAAATGAGCTTAGGATAAATTGAAAGTCTGGATTGTGTGAAAACATTTCCGTGCCATTTATCTTCTGATACACTCTTGCCACTGAATTATGTAGGCATATACATTATTTAAAGACTGTTTGCTCCTTGAAAATTGATTTGTGGTAAGTTCATGCAAAGTCCCTAGGTGGTTCCGACAGTTAACGGGCTTGGTGATTGGAGGTTGCAGTCCACTTAGAAGCACTTTGGAAGAAAGGCCTGGTGATCTACTTCCAAAAAATCAGCCATTGAAAACCCTATAGAGCACAGTTCTGCTGTGTCACACATGGGGTCACCATGGTCGGAATCGACTCGCCAGCACCTGGTTTTTAATTAATTTCAGGTAGCTTCAATCACATATTCTAAACAGAAATATCTGACTCAGTAAATTTTTAAGGCGGGAAACTCAAACTCAGAAATACTTTCACTTTTTAAACCAGAGTATTATCACCATGTTATTGAAAGTTAGATACTAGATGGGGAAAAAATTCCCCAGATCCTAAAATGCTTGTTACTAGTATTTTTGGTATGTTTCATTGTGTGTACTTTCTAATGCATTTTTTTTAAAAAGCCATAATATGCGTATATCCGTTTAGTACCCAAGGCATATATTTTAAGATTAATTATTTCAAGTAAAGTTAACATGTTAATATAGTTAGATTAGTCAGGTTCTCCCTAAAACTTAAAGTTTTATACCAGGGTTACTAGATATATGTAGGACAGTGACCGCTAAGAGAAGCCTCAGTTTTCTTTTCATGAAAAGTACTGCTATAAGGAGTAATGAGCTGTCGGGAAAGAGCGTAACATAGTAAGTGGCACTTAATAGGCGCCTGATAAGTGATAACCCCTTTTCATGTTTAGGTTCAGTTGGGAGAATGTGCCCTGTGTGTTTTTTGATCCTTTAAATAAAATAGTTTCATAGTTTTTTCCCCTCAAATAATTTTAACCTTATAAAACCCAAGAAATGTTCTTTATGAAAAGAACTTGGGTACATGTTTGCTGGTATTTCTTTGGAAAATAAAGCTAGATTTTGAGGATCTAGAATTAGATGAGAATGCTAGGCTTTTTTGTTTGTTTTAATCCAGCTCTTCAAAATTAATCTCCTATATGGTAATCTCAGGATTATGCATTTGAGGTTTGTTCTGGGCTCTGAACCAGGCTAGCCATTTCAGAAGATGGCCTTCTTTGAAGTGGGATGTTTGTATATAGGTATAAGACAAGAATTCTACATTTAAGTGTGCATATTCCTACATTTAAAAAGTTGTTTAAATTTGTTAACATTCCACTACCAAACTTTTTTTTGCACTTGGCCTAATTTTTTCTCATTTTATTTTTCAGAATGAACCTAGTGATCGAGAAGATGGCCTCACCAAAAGGCATCATGTGATAGACTCTGAGAATGATGACCACCCAAATCTTAATGCTAGTGACTCTGAAAGTGAGGAGCTTCACGGACAGAAGGACAGCGATTCTGAATCTGAAGAGCATCCAGAGCCTCCTGCAAGTGATTCTGAAAATGAGGATATCAATCACCACGGGAGTGACTCTGAGAGTGAGGAGACCAAGAAATTACCTGTTAGCGACTCTGAAAATGAAGAACTTCTTAACGGGCATGCAAGTGACTCAGAAAACGAAGATGTTCAAAAGCATCCTGCCAGTGATTCAGGAACTGAAGAGCTCCAGAAAAGTCCTGCCAGTGACTCTGAGACAGAGGATGCTCTAAAACCTCCAGTCAGTGATTCTGAGAGTGAGGAACCCCCAAGGCATCAAGGCAGTGACTCAGAAAATGAGCTCCCCAAACCTCGAGTCAGTGACTCAGAAAGTGAGGAGCTTCCTAAACCTCAGGTCAGTGACTCAGAAAGTGAGGAGCCTCGGAGGAATCAGGCCAGTGACTCTGAAACTGAGGAGCTTCCCAAACCCCGCATCAGTGACTCAGAAAGTGAGGACCCTCCAAAGCACCGAGCCAGTGACTCTGAAAACGAGGAGCTTCCCAAACCCCGCATCAGTGACTCAGAAAGTGAGGGTCCCCCAAGGCATCCAGCCAGTGACTCAGAAAACGAAGAGCTTCCAAAACCCCAAATTAGTGATTCAGAAAGTGAGGACCCCCCAAGAAACCAGGCCAGTGACTCTGAAAATGAGGAGCTTCCCAAACCCCAAGTCAGTGACTCTGAGAGTGAGGAGCCACAGAAGGGAAGGGCCAGTGATTCAGAAACCGAGGATTCCTCCCGCCACAAACAGAAGCCTGAGTCAGATGATGACAGCGATGGCGAGAACAGGGGAGAGGATGTAGAAGTGCAAAATGACTCCTTTAATTCAAATAGCCATACAGAGAGAAAAAGGTTTCACAGTTCTGACAGTGAGGAGGAAGAACCAAAAAGGCAGAAGATTGACAGTGATGAAGATGAAGAAAAAGAGGGAGAGGAGGAGAAAGTAGCAAAGCGGAAAGCTGCTGTCCTTTCTGATAGCGAAGATGAAGAGAAAGCATGTAAGGAATTATTTTGGGCATAGCCTTACTTATTGTCTAAGCTTGTAACTGTGAAGCATTGCTTGTTCTGTTGTATTAGATCTGTTCTGTCACTCAGCTTAATGTTCTAAAGTGTCACTAGGAACTAGTTTCCCCTGGTTTTCATTGACTCTTCTTAATATTTAATTTCCTTTAAGTTGTTGTAACAGCTTTTGTTCAGATCTAATTGCCTCAAAGTGGTAAGCTAGTCTGAGTGTCAGCAGGAATGTAAAAAACTTAAGTTTTTTACCAGAATGGGTAATGTTTCAAAGAAAAATATGTCTACATGAAAACCCCTCACTGTATTCAGAGTTAATCTGTGTATCTCTTTGACAGCTACTTCATTAGATCCCATACAAACAGTTAACTGAGATGCCTTAGGTACCTCTTTCACTTGTTAAATACCCAAAGGCAGGGAAGTTTTGGAGGGGGCTCTCTCTCTCTCTCTCTCTCTCTCTCTCTCTCTCTCTCTCTCTCTCTCTCTCTCTCTCTCAATTTTTTAATTGTGCTGTAAGTGAAAGTTTACAGTTGTTAGTTTCTCATACAAAAATTTATATACACGTTATGTGACCCTAGTTGCTCTCCCTATAATGTGTCAGACAGCACACTCCTCCTATCCACCCTGGATTTTCCATGTCCATTCAGCCAGCTCCTGTCCGTTTTTGCCTTCTCATCTCACCTCCGGACAGGAGCTGCCCATTTAGTCTCATGTATCTACTTGAGCTAAGAAGCTGTCTCTTCACAAGTGTCATTTTATGTCTTATAGTCCAGTCTAATCTATTTCTGAAGAGTTGACTTCAGGAATGGTTTCAATTCTGGGCTAACAGAGAGCCCAGGGGCCATGTCTTGCAGGGTCCCTCCAGTCTCAGTCAGACCATTAAGTCTGGTCTTTTTACTAGAATTTGAATTCTGCACCCCACTTTTCTCCTGATCCGTCAGGGACTCTCAGTTGTATTCCCTGTCAGGCGGTCATTGGTGGTAGCCAGGTACCATCTAGTTCTCCTGGTCTCAGGCTGATGGGAGTCTCTGGTTTATGTGGCCCTTTCTGTCTCTTGGGCTAATATTTTCCTTGTGTCTTTGGTGTTCTTCATTCTCCTTTACTCCAGGTGGGTTGGGACCAATTGATGGATCTTCAGTGGCCACTCACTAGCTTTTAAGACCGTAGATGCCACTCACCAAAATGGGATGCAGAATGTTTTCTTAGTAAACTTATGATATGCCAATTGCCCTAGATGGAGGGGACTATATTTAAGACTTCACATCTGCAGAGTATTCTGGTCTGCTCCATAGGAACTCTTTTTCACGGTCAATTTTTACTTGATTACTTTGTTGTGAAGCTTATCTTTCTTTGGAAAAGAGGTATTCCCTTCTAACCTTACAGTTCTTATAGGAGAAGGGAAAATTGACCACGCATGCTGCCAGTTTGTTAAGAAAGATGAGAAACCCAGACTGATTGGCAGCAATTCAGAAGCGTGGGGCTTCTACCAGAGAACATCCAGTTCTTTTTAGTTCCATTAATATTAGGCAGCATAAAAGGGATGCCAGTTCTGCACATCAGTCTGATCTTACTTTCTCTGCCCCACAAAAGGGAAGGTAACCATTGGTACCCACTTTTATATTGATGGTTTTATTTTGGGTTTTTTTTCCCTATCTTTTGGGCACTTTTTCCTAAGCACAGTAACACATAATTGTAAGATGACTCTGAGCCTTTTATTTTTTAATTTTAAACCGTGTGTCAGTAGGCCCTTTGATTTCTGCCATATACAGGCAGTCCCCAGGTTGTGAATGTCCAACTTACGTAGTTACGAACCAACTCCTGTAAAACCTGTTATATTAAAAATTCGAGGTACATAAATAGTTTGTAATAACAAATGGGCACTACTTTGCAACATGCATCAAAACATTATTATTGAATTATGTTGAAGATGTTTTAGTATATCTGGATATGTGTTTCTTTTAACGTTTCTTACGCATAGAAAGGTACGCTATAGGCTATATACTAAGACATACATTTAACTAACTGAAGTTAGGAATTAAACCTAACTGCTCCGACTTACGTACAGATTCAACTTAGGAATGTAACTTGTTCGTAATCCGGGGACTGCCTGTACTGCCATTTTAAAGGACCTGTTATACTTAGTAATACAATGACAAAATGTAAGATTGATTTTTTTTTTAATTGACAACAGCAAAGAAGAGTCGTGTTGTCTCTGATGCAGATGATTCTGACAGTGATGTTATATCAGAAAAAGCAGGCAGAAGAGAAAAGACTGTAGCATCAGACAGTGAAGAAGAAGTAGGGAAAGAAGAATTGTCTGATAAGAAAAACGAAGAGAAGGATCTATTTGGGAGTGACAGTGAGTCGGGGAATGAAGAAGAGTAAGTGACAGTGTGATGTGAGTTTTCAAGTGTTCTCATAAGGTGGTGGAGAGGGTTTTGTCGTTCAGGTTTTCATAAACTTGTATTAAAATTTCCTTTTGAGGTGTAATATAATATATATAGCCTTGAATGCATAATATGGGGACTCAGGATTTTAGTTTTAGTGTCTGAACTGCTGTATCTCACAAATACCGTGTTAAATGAAAGAAGCAAAGAGGACACGTATGTTCCATTTACATGAAGTTCAAGAACAGGCAAGACTAATCTGTGATGATAGTTGCCTCAAAGGTCTTGATATGGGGAACTGACTATAAAGAGGCACGAGGCAACTTTCTGGGATGATGACATTGCTCTACATCTTGATTAGGGTGCTGGTTACATGGTGTGTACATTTGTCAGAACCCATTGAACTGTATATTAAGAGCTGTAGATTTTACTGTATATAAATTATACTTCATTGTTAAAAGGTTTTATGGTTTCTATATTTGTTTCTTCTCTAGAAACCTTATTGCAGACATATTCGGAGAATCTGGTGATGAAGAGGAAGAAGAGTTTACAGTAAGTATAAGATGGAAATGCTTCCTCTTCTATGCTGTTTGTCTTTATGGCAGTGGTTCTCTAATAGGTGATTCCAGTAAGTTGGAATAAGGAGCTGCGATGTGTTCAGGAGAAAAATCTAGGGAAAATGGATTCAGAAAGTGGAATAAAAAGATGTGCAGAGGTATAAAAGGAAAGTAACAGAAAAGATTGTATTAAGATGGAGAAGGAATGCCTTAAAGGAGCTGAAATAAGGCAGTTTATAATGCTAAAGGATAAAACCACAATAGTTAAGGGGCTTTTGATTCTAGCATTGATTCTAGGTAATTTGAACCAATCTTCCTGTTAACAGCAACTAAAAAAGCTGGACAGAGTGTTTTAAAAATCTGCTTGTCATTAAAGTGACAAGGCAGCAAAGAATCACTAAGCCAAGAACCAGCAGAAGACAGAAACCTAAAGAAGTCAGCCTGGCATTTACAACTGCCCTTTTTCTGGGCGTGTTTACCTATTCTGGAAGACACAACTGAGAGTATGGTGTATATTTTTGACAGCCTCAAGACTAGGGAGACAAAATTGGAGTTTAGGGCCTGCTGAGGATTGAAGATGCTCTGAATTTGGGACTCCAAAGAACAGCACCTTAGGATTAAGGGTGAACTAGAAGTTAAAATAGCTCTTGTTTGGACTTTATCCCACCTTTAACACAGCTTTAAGTCATCTACCGTTGCCATCAAGTCAGTTCCGACTCATAGCGATCTTATAGGACAGAGTAGAACTGCCTCATAGGGTTTCCAAGGAATGGCTGGTGGATTTGAACTGCCGATCTTTTGGTTAGCAGCTGAGCTCTTAATGACTACGCCACCAGGGCTCCTTAAGTCATCTAACAGCCTAGAAAACCTCAGTCTCAGAAGTTTGATTACTGCGATTCATGATCCTTTGGTTAATGTTCCTAGGCTCCTGGCATGTGCAAATAGAAATCCTTTCAGGACAAAGGTACGCCATCATAGACCTCAGATTATTTCTATGGTTTTTCAAATACATAGTTTGGCACACAGTCAAAGATGACTGGGCATACAACATAAACAAGAAACAATAGTAATAACAGACAATAAAGATAGATCTAGGAGCTCTAGATATAGGAATTTTAGACATCACCTTTACAAAAAAGACTGTATTTGGGAACATGAAAGATGAGAAATTTTGTCAGAGCAAATTACAGCGAAACATGTGAGAGCCGGAACTCAATGGGACTGCCTTGTTTTTCTGGGTCTCACAAGAGTTCTGCCTTGGATAGAGTGCAGTCACCACTTTTCTATCGCTCATTTTAGTGGAAAATATTTGAGTTTTCCTTTTCTGACAGGTTTCTACCTTACACAGATTCTGGCAGGTTTTACTCTAGTATGGAAAATGTAAGAGAATAAGAGACATAGATTACATGTGAGAAGCTTTAATATATTAAATTGGAGTTCCAGAAGGAGAGGAAAAAATATACATAGCAGAAGACATATTTGAATAGTACATAAAGCCATATGGATTCAAGAAGCCCCTACACACCACAGGCAGGATAAATAAAAAGAACTCTGCACTTAAGTACATCATGATGAAACTGCAGGAAACCAAAGAAAACAGGAAAGTCTTAAAAGCGCTCAGAGGAAAAAAAATTACATTCAGAGAAGCAACAATTAGACTAATAGCTGACGTCTCAACAGGAACAGTAGAATCCAGAACTCAATGGAGTGATACCTTCAATGTGTTGAAAGAAAATAACTGCAAACTTAGAAGTATGTTAATATCAGCAAAAATATTTTTCAGGAATGAAGGTGAAGTAAGGAGATTTTTAGACATGTAAAACTTGAGAGAATTGTCAGTATACCAACCGAAGAAAATAGTAAAGGTTGTTCTTCAGGTAGAAAGAAAGTGATCTCCAGTGGAAGGTCAAAGATAAAAAAGAGCAACAGAAGTGTGTGGGTAGATATAAGTGAGTGTTGACTATACAAATCAAAAAGTATGTCTGGTGTGGTTTAAAATATATATAAAATTAAAACACATGGCAGCAATAACAAATTGGGAGGAATACATGGAATTGAAGTGTCCAAAGGTCCTTGCAGATGTATGTAAAAGTACGTTAGTAGACCGATAGGATAGATGTATGTTGTAATCTCTAACCACTAAAAAGATGAATGGAATATGTAAATTCCAAACTAATAGTGGGCAAAAAAGTGAAATAATAAAAAGTGATTAATCCAAAGGAAAGAATAGAAAAGGAAATACAGAACAGGAGGACAATTAGAAAGTAGTATATAGTAACAGCAGATTTAAAAAACCAGTTGCCATTTAGTGGATTACAACCCATGCTGACCCCATGCATGTCGGAGTAGAAGTGCACTCCGTAGAGTTTTCAATGGCTGATTTTTTTGGAAGTAGATTGGCAGGCCTTTCTTCCAAGTTGCTTCTAGGTGGACTAGAACCTCCAACCTTTTGGTTAGCAGCCAAGCACATTAACCGTTAGTACTACCTAGAGATTGCTAGCAGATTAAACCTTGATAATATCAGAAATTACATTTAATGTACTAAATACTCCAGTTAAAGAACAAAGATTCTGAGACTGCATTTTAAAACCAACGATACACTGATTCTAAGAGATTCATCTGAGACAGATATAGGAAAGTTAAAAGGATGGAAAAGATAACTCCACGTGTCTACTGGGTTAACCAAAAGAAAACTGGTGTAGGTACATTAATATCAGAGAGGTAGGCCATAAGAAAAAAAAATTATTTGAGATAAAGAGGGTCACTGTATATTGAGAAAAGGTTTTTAAAATTGTACGTACCTAATAATGTGACTTAAAATAGGTATATACAAAACAAAAATTGACAGAACTACAAAGAGAAATGGATAAATCTCTAATCCAACTGGAATATAACTGATAGAACAAGCAGGCCAAAATCACTACAGATGAGTCTCTTTTTATATAATCTGGATACACGCCCTTTAGTGGTTATAAAAGCTAAACAATATCTTTTTCTAATTTGTGGCTTGCCTTTTCACTTCCTTGATGTAGTCTTTTGGTGAATAAAAGTTCTTTTAATATAGATCTAATTTAGCAGTATTTTCCTTTATGGTGAAAGCTTTTTGAATTCTCCTTTAGAAATTTTTGCCTATCCCCAAGATCATGAAAATATTCTACTGAATTATCTTCTAGAAGCTTTATTATTTTATCTTCCTCATTTAAGTGTACAGTCCACCTGGAATTGGGGTTTTTATATGGTATGAGGTAGAGGTCAGGATTTTTTCCCATTTGGAATAGCCAGTTGATCCAGCACCATTTGTTGAAAAAATCATCCTTTCCTACTAATCTGCAGTGCCGTCTTCATTATAAATCAGGTGTGTCTGGACTGTCTTTTCTGTTCGCTGGTCTCTGTCCTTGCACAATTAATACATAACTCTTGATGGTAGTTTATGTCTCCTGTCTTGTTATTCTTCAAGATTGCCTTGGCTGTTCTCAGACTATACAACTTTTCAACCATTCTTTTCCCAAAAAATGCAAAGCATAGACAACATTTTATGAATACAAAACAATGAAATTGGAAATTTTTAACAGAATTATCAAACAGCACACCCCCTGCCACCCAGAAGTTTAAAACCTCCTTGTTAATTCTTGGGTCAAAAAAGGAATCAGTTCTGTTATTACTAAAGCAAGAGAATGTGAGAGTAGATGAATTTAGAATCTAATTTGAGATGGTAGAAAACTAACAAAGTAGGCCTAAGGAACATTGAATGAAGAAATCACTCAACAAATATTTGGGAGCCATATGCCAGACTCTGTTGTGGGCACTGCCTTCATGCAGTTCATACTCATTTAAGCAACATATTACAAGATTAAGACATACTTTTCTCATTTGATTGGAGAGTTCGCTTATAGGTTCAGTTCAGTGAGAAAAACAATAGGTGAACCATTGGGAAGGCTGTTTTAAGTGTGGCACAAAAGTTAGAAGGTATAAAGAAAAGAGTAACCATTTCAGTTACATAAAAATGAAAAAAAAAATTATGCCTGGCAAACATTACCAAAAGCAAAGTCAAACCGCACAAATATATGTTGGGAGATTGAGCAGTTCCTGTCACTTACAGAGGACTAATTTCCCCAGTTTTTAAGAATGTTTACACACCAATAAGAAAATGATGAACAGCCCAACAGAAAATGGGTATAGGGTATTGAGAGGTCACAGAGAAAGAATTCCAAATGGCTTTTTTTTTTTTTTTTTAATATAAATGAATTTAATAGTCTCAATAGCATTTTCATGTACTTGATAACTAGTAGCACATGCTTTGTAAATTTTTTATTTATTTTTGTTGCTGAGAATATACACAGCAGAACATACACTTTAATTCAGCCAAATTGCTTTGAAACATGAAAAAAAATGCCCAGCTTTACTCAAGAGAATGCAAATAAAGCTATACTGAGATGCTTCTTTTTCAGTCCAGAGGTTGGCAAAGATCAAAGTTTGATAACTTTCTGTAGTAGTGAGAAGGTGGGGAAACAAATATGCAGATTCTTTACTGGGAGGAGAGTTAATTGGTATAACCTCTGTGGAGGGCAGGTAGGCAAGTATTTCTCAAAATTTTCAGTTGCACATATCTAAATGATAGTATTGGAGCAGGGTGGTTCAGTGGTAGAATTCTTGCCTTCAATGTGGGAGACCCAGGTTCAATTCCGAGCCAACCCACCCTCATGTACAGCCATCAACCATCTTGTCAGTGGAGGCTAGTGTGTTGCTGCGATGTTGATTCAGGTTTCACAAAGCATCCAGACTAAGGCAGACTAGGAAGAAAGGCCTGGCAGTCTACCTTCAAAAAATCAGCCATTGAAAACCCTATGGATCACAATGGTCTGATCCCATTGTGCATGGGCACCATGAGTCAGGGCCAACTCAGTAGCTAACTACAACAACAAAATGTCAGTAGGGAAGTGTATAAACAAATGATGGCTACAGCCGTATGGTGAAATCATCTAAGGCTTTAAATAAGAGTGAGGACACTTTATGCTAGTATGGATTTGTCTCTGTATTTTACTGTTAAATGGTGAAAGTGTCGTACAGTATGTCACAGTACCGTTTGTATAATAACCCCCCCCACACCAAAAAAAAGAAAACAAACCTATTGCTGTTGAGTCAATTCTGACTCATAGCAACCCTACAGGACAAAGTAGAACTGCCCCATGGGGTTTCCAAGGCGGTAAATCTTTGTGGAAGCAGGCTGCTACATCTTTCTCCGGCAGAATGGCTGGTGCGTTCAAACCACTGACCTTTTGGTTGGCAGCTGAGCACTTTAACCACCACACCACCAGGGTTCCTTTGTATAATAAAAGGAGGTACTAAATATGTATGTCTGGAATTGCTTGTATAAATGCACACTATCTCTGGAAGAAAACTAGTAACATTGGTGGCGAGGGTGGGAGGGAGCTTTTTTGCTACGTACTTTTCAATAACCTATTTAATTTTTTTCTACATAAATATATTACTTTTGGAGCCCTGGTGGCACAGTGGTGAAGAGCTTGGCTGCTAACCAAAAAGGTTGACAGTTTGAATCCACCAGCCGCTTCTTGGAAACCCTATGGGGCAGTTCTACTCTGTCCTGTAGGATTGCTATCAGTTGGAATCAACTCGCCGGACCCAGGTTTGGTATTACTTCTAAAAACGTGCAAAAAATTAGAAGCAGTGTATGAAGGAAAATCTGTAAGGAGCTTGTTGTAACTTTGCCAAACTTACGCTGACTTCTAGGGTTTTAACCAAGAAGATTTGGAAGAAGAAAAAGCTGAAACACATATAAAAGAAGCAGAAGATTCAGATTCTGATGATAACATAAAGAGAGGAAAACAGTAAGTTTCTGTTTTTAAAAAAGGAATTTGTTAAAGACAACTCAAAAAAAATTAAGGTAGAGACTGTTAAACTTTGTTTTTTCTTATTTAGTTCCTGATTAAGTTTAGGAGGAATCTGGTCCATTTTTCCCTTTTCTACTTCTTTATGTACAGTACTGTCACGGAATTATTTGGTATTGTTATTCTTCCATTTGCCCTGTGCCCAGATATCTTTATTTTTTTAATTATATTTATATGGTACCAGACTCTTAATTTCTGGATCACCAAGTAAGCTCTTCTGCAAAGTAAACCTGGTAAGAAATGTATATATATTTTGAGGGGGAAAAGAAGCTGATTGGGCGGAGGGGGCTAGATCTAAAATCTTAACTACAAAGTATTACTTGATTATATTTCACTTACTTTTGTTAAGATAGCTGGTGTCTGTCTTTGGGAAAATCTGATAGGTGCCACACAAACAAAATGATTAATTAGTGACTGTTCACAGTTGTAGAGGTGACCCTTTAAAAAGTTTACTCTTTAAATCCTAGTGGCAGGAAAAATTAATATGAATGAGTTTGGCATTGCCTTTGGAAATTGAATGTGTGTGTTAATGACAGTGAGTTAACTCTCTCTAAGTCTGATGATTCTGATTGAAGCTAAAGATTTGAGGCTCTTAGCAAGTCTGTAGATTCCCATCTTTATCTTAGCTGCATTTGAGGCTTATGATTTTTATCACTAAAAATAGCAGTCTATTTTTTTTTTTCTACTCATGGTATTTAAAATAAAAATACTCAAATCATTGAACACCTTCCTATTCCAAAAAAGGCAGTGCAGCTAAAATTGAATTAATATATTAGTTATTATATTTCAGCAGTGTTCCCTGAATGAGAGCTTGAATTGTTCCTTCTTAAGCTGGTATATGCAAATATGAATATGGTGTTTGAAAAGTCTAAAAACTAGTAGTGTTTACTGTATAGCAGTTGGAGTAGTACAGAAGTTGAACATAAAGTCTAGGATCATCTGTTCTTTTAAAAGCAAATTGTAAGTACTTGAGATGGTCCCTAAATTCAGGCAGAATGTATTCAAGGTTGTACTTAGGCTCTTGTGGACTTCCTTCAGTTTTCTTCAGCTTCAGTTTGAACTTGCACAGGAGCAGTTGATGGTTTGTTCTGCAGTCGGCCCCTGACTTTGTTTGACTGATGATATGATGATACTGAACTTCTCCATTGTCTGTAGACGGTGAGACCATCTCAAGAATAGATTTGATGTACTGAACACTAATGACAGAAGACCAGAAGAGTTGTAGGAAGACATCGAGGGCATCATACATGAAGAAAGTAAAAGGTGATTAAAAAGACAGGAAAAAGTGAAAAGACCAAAGTGGATGTCAGAAGTGACTCTGAAACTTGCTCTTAAGCACAAGTAGCTAAAGAGAATAGAAGAAATGAACTAAAAGAGCTGAACAGAAGATTTCAAAGGGTGGCTCAAGAAGATAAAGTATTACGATGAAATGTACAAAGACCTAGAGTTAGAAAATCAAAAGGGAAGAACACGACATTCTCAAGCTTAAAACTGAAGATGAAATTCAAGCCTGAAGGTACATTACTGAAGGATTCTGTGGGCAAAAATTGAATTACGAAGGTGGGAGGAATACACAGAGTCACTTTACCAAAAAGAACTGATTGACGTTCAGCCACTTCAGGAGGCAGCATATGATCAAGAACGACTGTTACTGAAGGAAGAAGTTCAAGCTACGTTGAAGTCATTGGCAAAAAGTCTCCAGGAATTGACAGAATACCAATTGAGATGCTTCCACAAATGGATGCAACACTAGAAGCACTTACTTGTCTGTGTTAAGAAATTTGGAAGACAGCTACCTGGCCAACTAACTGGAAGAGATCCATATCCGTGCCCATTCCAAAAAGTGATCAAACAGACCAAGGAAATTATTGAACGATATCATTAATGTCACATGCTAGCAAAATTTTGCTGAATGTAATTCAAAAACAACTGCAGCCTACATCAGAAAAAAACTTCCAGAAGTTCAAGCTAGATTCAGAAGAGGATATGGAAGGAGGGTTATCATTGTTTGTTGATTTCAGGTGTATCTTGGCCAAAACCAGAGAATACCAGAAAGATGTTTACCCGTGTTTTATCAACTGTGCGTAGTCATTTGATTGTATAGCTCATAACACATTATGGATAACATTGTGAAGAATAGGAATTCCATAACACTAATTGTGCTCATGTGGAATCTGTATGGACCTAGAGGCAGTCATTCAAACAGTACAAGGGGATACCACAGGGTTTAAAATTGGAAAAAGTGTGTGACAGTTGTATCCTTTCACCATACTATTCAGTCTGTATGCTGAACACATAATCCAAGAAGCTGGACTATATGAAGAAAAACGCAGCATCAGGATTGGAGCGAGACTTATTAACAACCTGTGATATGCGGATGACACAACCTCGCTTGCTGAACATGAAGACGACTTGAAGCACTTACTGATGAAGGTCAAAGGCTCCAGCCTTCAGTATGGATTATGCCTGAGTGTAAAGAAAATGAAAATCCTCACAATTGACTGATAAACATCATCATGATACATGGAGAAAAAATAGAAGTTATAAACGATTTCATTCTACTGGGATCAACATTCAGTGTCCATGGAAGCAGCAGTTAAGAAATCAAACGATGTATGGCATTGGGCAAGTCTGCTGCTAAAGACTTTAAAGTTTTAAAAAGCAAAGATGTCACTCTTATGCCTGACCCACGACATGGTCTTTTCAGTGACCTCGTATGCATGTGAAGGCTGGACAGTGAAAAAAGAACAGAAGGATTGATGCAGTCGAATTGTGGTGTTGATGAAGAGTATTTAATATGCCATGGACTGCCAGAAGAACAAACAAGTCCGCCTTAGAAGAAGTATAGCCAGAATGCTCCTTAGAAACAGGGATGGCAAGAATTCATCTTGCTTACTTTGGACACATCAGAAAAGACCAATCACTAGAAAAAGACATCATGTTTGGTCAAGTAGAGGGTCAGCGAAAACAAGGTAAACCCTTAGTGCAGTGAATTGACACAACAGCCACAACAGTGGACTCGAACATAGGCAATGATCATAAAGATGGTGCATGACCAGGCAGCATTTTAGTCTGTTGTATATAAGATCACCATGGTCAGAGCTGACTTGACAGTAACAACAGCGCATGTATTTGTACTTCGGGTAGTTAGAATTAAGAAAGTTAATGATTCTTAACTTAGATAAAAGGCAATATGTATATAAAGGGGAACTTGTATTTAGGTCTTTTCAACTTGTTTTTGTCTTGCTGCTTAGTATGGACTTTCTGTCAGATTTCGAGATGATGCTGCAGCGGAAGAAGAGCTTGAGTGGCAAGCGCAGACGCAACCGTGATGGCGGCACCTTTATTAGTGACGCAGACGACGTTGTGAGCGCCATGATCGTGAAGATGAATGAAGCCGCTGAGGTTAGATGGGTCCACTTCTGATTTTCATTTTTTTCTTTCCCTCACATAATTAGTTGGGTGGGTTTTTTTTTTTTTTTTCCCCTTTTTTTTAGCTTAACTCCTGCTTAAGCTATGTTTAAGATACTTTGCTTTTTGTGATGAAGTATTTGCTCTTCTAAATTTTAAGCATGGAAGTAATTTTAATTTATAGTTGCATGTTTAGAAAAATGTGAAAGTAGTGTGTATTAAGCATAATAAATTTCTTTAGGTCACTGGGTTTGCTAGTTTTATGGGGGAGTGGTTTGGGTCTGGACAGTTTACCATAAAGTTTTATGTTGCTTCATTTATAGAAAATGCTGTAAACTCATAGGTTATTCTCTTGCCTCTTACCAAGGGACTACATTTAACTCACTGAGCTTTTTTTAAATCTCTCTAAATTGTCAAAATTGGCCAAGTTTTATATTTTGAAAACATGTCCTGAGCTTTTAGAAACACTTACTGAAGTATCTATGGATTTAATGATACGTGTCTAGGATTTGTTTCAAAATAAGAGTGGAAGGAAAAGTAGTTAGATAGCCAAAATAAGACTGGCCATGTGTGGCTAATTATTGAAACTGGGTGATGGGTACGTAATAGGGTACATTGTTCTGTATTCTATGTGTATATGTATTTGGAATTTTAAATTAGGGAAAAAAGTGCCCAACTAGATACTGTAACCCTTCTTTGATAATATATCGCATTATCATACAAGCCTCCCAGTTAAAAAAGTATTCCTGATATAAACCAAATTTCCCTGGCTATAACCTTGAATAGACTCTTTGAAAACTTGGCAGTTATACCAATATTTTAAATTAAAACTGTTCCTCTCAACTTGTATTTGTTAAAGGTAATCATTCTGATAGTTTTTTTGGGTTTGAGCAACACAGATTCAGAATTTGGAGTTCTGCAAAAAATTCATTCTTTGTTTAGTTATTCTTTCTTGTAGGAAAAATAGTAGTTTTCTGAGAAACTGCTGATTTGTTTCATTTTAAGGTTTAGAATTATAGTAATTATAATTCACTATTAATAATACTGCTGTTTAAAAAAAATAAAAAATAACCTTTTTCTCTTTCTTTCGTGATAGGAAGACAGGCAGTTGAACAATCAAAAAAAGCCAGCACTAAAAAAATTAACTTTATTACCTACTGTTGTTATGCATCTTAAGAAGTAAGTGTTTTTCTTTCTTAATTTTTTTTTTTCCTTTTAATAGAATGATAGAGTATGCACTGGTGTTCTGGAGATACTAAATAATAACAGCCTTCTATCAATTCACAGAAAAATAATAATTGGTAGAATTTCCTAAATTAGGTTTCTGTCTCAGATTTTTCTTAAACCTTTGATGCCTGATGCAAACAGAACAAACAGCAAACTGATATTAATGGGGGAAAAAAAACTTAGTAACCACTAATTTTGTTCTTTATAACAGTTTGGGATCTGGTAAGTTGCGTGTGTTTTCTCTGTGTGACTGAGAACAGAGCAAATGAAGAAAGACACTGCTTGAAGCAAGTACCGTGCAAGGTTTATATGGCCACCAATCAGTATGTTTGGATCCTCTTACATCACAAATTATGTCGCTGGTCCTTCTGGAATAATGATGCCTTTTCTTAACAGAACCTTGTTACCAAGCTCTTTCATTGAGTTTCTCATATTCCTGAGCTTTGAAGTGTCATCAGCTTTGCTTTCTCCTTGAACCTTATCACAACCTAATTTTGATGGCTGAAGAAGTGTGTTAGTACATCAGTGAGCCAACAACCATGGTCTAGGAAGTCTGCCACTAGAAAACTGCCACCTATAGCGTGACCCCTGCACAAGGATCACACACAAATTCAAAAAGCATTCCATATTTTTGGGGGGCCCTGGTGGCGCAGTAGTTAAGAGCTCAGGCTGCTAACCAAAAAGTCAGCAGTTCGAATCCACCCGGCACTGCTTAGAAACCCTGTGATGCAATTTTGCGGTGTCCTGTAGGGCTGCTGTGAGTCGGAATTGACTTGACAGCAGTAGGTTTTTTATATCCCAAAAGACAAAACTGTCTATGGCAGATTCTATATATATATAATATTTCGCGGTTTCTGTTAACATAATTGAAATTAACATAAATTCAGTTCCATAAATGGAATTTAAAATATCAGTGTTCCATGGTGGTTTTTTTTTTTTTTCCATGCCAGGAGAATGATATTCGCCTTGGTGTCCTGCAAAGAATAACAGAATTCTAAGTTCTCCACCACTGAAAAAGTTAGAGAATCACTATTCTGATAGATTGAACATGATTTTTCTAGTTGTACTAATTGAAGCTGATTGTTATCACTGTCTGCACCGTTCATACCAACTAACCTATCTTATGTAACTTGCGTTTTGGCCGGGGTTATTTAGTCAGTCATCTTTGCCTGTCAAGTCTGTATGTTTCTTGAAGATAGGAATTACATTTCATGTTGCTTTTGAAGCCAGAATAGATATTCAGTAAATATTGAATATACATGAGTAACTCTTTAAAAGCAGTATTTGGAAATGTCACTAAATATGAAAGAAAAATCAGAGGAAGTTACGGTAGAACCATGGTTTATAGACCTCAGTTTAAAAATAAAAAAATATTATTATTGCAGGCAGGACCTGAAAGAAACGTTTATTGACAGTGGTGTGATGTCCGCCATCAAAGAATGGCTCTCACCTCTACCAGATAGGAGTCTGCCTGCTCTAAAGATTCGGGAGGAGCTGTTGAAGATTCTGCAAGAGGTTAGAAGCAGATAACCTGACTGTTTGCTCTTCATTAATTATCTGATGTGGTTTGTATTAACTATCACAGCCTCTGTATTTCACCATGCATTTGTACATTCTCTCTACTACAGCCTGCCAGAAAAGCATTAGAAAAAAGGGAAACGCCTAATTAAATAAGCATAAAAGGAAAGGCCTTATAAAACTTCATGTAACTATAGTACTAAAGATAAAAGATCTTGGAGTAGCTATCATGTATCTGGCTGAGAAGAATAATACAATAATAGACATGTTCTAGGGAGACACTCGAAGTAGAAAAGATGCCACCTTCTAAAGTTAGATAAACTTGAGTTTGAATCTTGAGCTGGACCATTTTAATGTGGCTGTGACACCTTGGGCAAGTACTTAACTTTTGAAGTAGAAAATATACCAACTTCTGAGTTAGATAAACTTGAATTTGAATCTTGAGCTGAACCACCTTAATGTGACTGTACACGTTGGGCAAGTACTTCTGTCAGAGTTTCTCGGGAACCTCTTATATACCAAGCACTGTGCTAATTGATTTATGTATGCACTGATTCATTTACTCCTCACAACAGACCCGCAAAGTAGATGTCCCCATTTTACAGATGTGGAAATTGAGGCTCAAAGAAGTTAAATGACTTGTCCAAGGACACATAGGTGGGAAGTAGCTGTGCTTGAATTTAGACTTAGGTCTGTTTGATTCTAAGGCCTGTGCTGATTCTTGTATTAGACTGCTAACCACAAAGTGTGCTGAGTTCACACTTTGTCACGTTGTTTGGTTTTACGTTTATAGTTCAGCTCAGAGGTAATTCCAAACTTTCAGCTCCTGATGTGAAAACAACATGTCTTTGTGTTCAGTGTGTACAGATCCTGAAAATGGAATTTTCTGTTATTTGGTTTACTGTGCATGAAAGAGGTCTTGGGGGTCCTCTAGAATAGATTAGCAGGACTCTCAGCTTCTGAGTGGTTAATACATATGTATGTGTTTATGTTCCTCAGCTACCTAGTGTGAGCCAGGAGACTCTGAAGCATAGTGGGATTGGACGAGCAGTGATGTATCTCTATAAACACCCCAAGGAATCAAGGTCCAACAAGGACATGGCAGGGAAATTAATCAGTACGTAAATCTTGCTTTTTGTTTGTTGTGTTTATGTGTGTATGTAGGTAGGTAGGTAGGTGGATGGGTGGATAGATAGATACAAAGTGGTGTATATAAAAAGCTAATTATATTTTTACCTGTATTCATTTAAAATGAGTCAGTAAAGCGGGACCAAAAAAAATTTTAATAACTTCTTATAGGCACCAGCTTTTCCCCCTTAGACCTAAAGTGTTTCTCAGAATTATTATTAAATATAAAAAGTAAAAGCATGTGTTTTCTAATCACGGATCAGGAACATGGAGAGGCGTTAGTCACAGCGTCAGTTCGAGTATTGATCCACCACCTACCTTACTGTGTATCCTTAGGCTGGTGATTTAAGCACTAAGCCCTGACTGCCCCCTCTGTAAAATTGAGATAACTATGTGCTTATCTTGGGTTATTATGAAGATGAAATGAGAGAATACGTATAAAGCACAGCACCTAGCACGTAGTCAATACTCAAGAAATATTCGCCATTATTGGTATTGTCATTACTTGCACAGTGGTTTCCAGAACCTTTTGTACTTATTTAATGATGCCAAAGAAATCCAGAAGAGTCTAACTGGAATTCATCTAATAAAGTGCCATATTGTTTATGAAATGCTTCACTTTTAAGAATGAAACCATGTATGTTTCATCATCCTCCTTAACTCTTCCTGTGCTCCATGTTGGAAAGGAAGTTTTAAAAATTCACGGCTAGATAGGAAAAGTAACTTCTGCATTTGAATACAGGAATTGTTTTTCTGTTGAATTTTTTTAGATTGTCAAAAGCTTTTAGAGAAATGTAGATTTCTTTTATAGACGCAGAGAAGTATTACATCTTTGATCTTATCAATGACTGCATTTTACAGCGTGCTAAATGGTAAAGAAACAAAAAACTTATGATTTTTTTTATGCAGTAGTTCTTGATCTTTATTTTTGCCCTGGACTGAGAGCCAGAATATTCCCACTAGTTTCCAGAGCTACTACAACAATGGTGCTGAATCTGAGGATAGGGCCAGTTCGAGGAGGGGGTTTGAAAAGATGCATAGACCCCTGAGAATCTCTGCTTCATTCAACACAGGCAGCGCCTATGTTGTGTCTCTAAAGATCCTCTTTTGTTTTTAGAACGTATTAAGTGCATCAGTAAGCTATGTTATGTTTCAGAAAAAAATATTAGTTGGTACCTCAGGACATTTACTGGCTAAACAGTGGGCACATAGTGCTTTTTTTCATGGTCGCCTTAGCAGCTTTCTTAGACTTAATGAGTACAGACTCTGCACCCCCACCATTAACGTGGTTTTCAATGATACGTACAATTTGACAGTTAAGTAATTAGGTAACTTACTTTTGGTTAGGATAAGAAAGTAGAAGAATTTCAAGATTTTCTGTTTTCAGTGGCATAAATTAGAAATTTAGGCTGTTTTTATGAAATGTGAACACATCTAGTTGAATATCAAAGTGAATCAAATGTTACTTTCTTTAAATTTTTGTGATTATTACTGATCTAACTGATTTTTTTACACCTGTTTTCTGAATCAGCCAGAGTTAGTTATAATATTGCTGTTACGCTGTTTATCCGATAAATGGTCCTGAAATCATAGGATCTTTAAAGAAAGAGTATTTTAAATGCCTAGAGGGTATGGTTGTTTGAAAGACTGGCAGGAGAAATCCACTTTATAAACTGTATAATTGTTACAGATGAGTGGTCTCGGCCTATATTTGGTCTTACCTCAAACTACAAAGGGATGACAAGAGAAGAAAGGGAGCAGAGAGATCTAGAACAAATGCCTCAGCGACGAAGAATGAGCAGGTATGAGAGAACAGGTATGAGTAAGTGGATTAAACGTTACTGTTGCACTAACAGCTAAGCTTTTTTATAAATATGAACATTAGGAAATCTGTAAGATGACAGGATTTTGTCTTTTCCTCTCAGCTTGATATACCTGTCTAACAAAAAAAACCGACCCGTTGGCTGTCGAGCTGATTCCGACTCACAGTGACCCTACAGGACAGAGTAGAACTGCCCCCATAGGGTTGCCAAGGAGCAGCTGGTGGATTCAAGCTGCCGACCTTTTGGTTAGCAGCCAAGCTCTTAAGCCACTGCGCCACCAGGGCTCCAGTATACCTGTCTAGTTCATAATATTCTTTTAGTTTAAATGTGCTAGCATATAGTGAAGATCCCCCACCCCCCGCCCTCACTTTACTTGGTCAACATGGTGAAAATGGCTTCCCCCAGTTCCAGAGGGTGCTCCTTATGTTCCAGCCACTTGCAAAAACAACTTTCTCTTTCTCAGTTCCATTTACAGATTCCTAGGAGGGAAAAAATATTGTCCCAACTTGTTATCAATATACTGAATACAGTTATAACTAGGAGGACAGGCTTATTAGTTAACTAACGTAACTGTTAAGGTTCACAATGATAAAACCTGTTAGCAAATAAATACTAACTGGTACTTTTAAAAGATTAGGAGTTATTTTCCTTGATCCAGTGTAAAGAGGCTATTGTGTTGTAAGTTTGATATTTAAATTTGGTAGGTTGTTTTTTTGTTGGTCTGTCTTAGTTGTAGGGTTCTAAGATTTCTAATATTTTATTGATTACCTTTTTTTCCCAGCACTGGTGGTCAGACACCCCGAAGAGACCTGGAAAAGGTGTTAACAGGAGAAGAAAAGTAAGTTTTCGTTTTAATTTCTTTTTTCACTATATATAGAGAAATGTCTGCTTGCTACTTTAAGAAAAACAGCAAATGAAACGATGTTATGTTCACATTGGGAGGTGCTTTTCAGTTGAACATTTATTGGATATCTACAGTGAACAAAGTATCATATTGGGTGCTCTGGGGGATTTAAGGAAAATTGAGGAGTAGTTCATTCAATAAAGATTTTGTTGCTCGTTGCTTTGTGCTAGGCTCTGTGTTAAGCTCTGGGAATACAAAATCAAATGAAACATAGTCCATTCTCTCAAAAAGCTTAAGTCTGAAGAAGGTTTATAGGTAAAGGGGAGAGCTTAAGCAAAGATGTGGGGTAAATGTGCAAGGCCTATTTTAGGAATGGCAGATGGACCAAAGTGGTGGCCTCTGAGAAGAGAAAATAAGATTAGAAATATAGATGAGGAAAGGCTTTAAATCAGTATGAATAATTTTCACCTCTCTTTGTGGTTTCATAGAAAGTTAATAAGCATGGACATGAAGTCATCAGATTTGATTTGGAATGCTTATGCTGGTGACATCATTAAGATTGGTTGTAGGGGAGACGAACTGAAGCATGAGAACAGTTAGATTGAGACAGCAGTGGGAGTGAGGAGGAGAGAAATTGAGATGTCATTGCAAAGGCACAATTGCCAGGAGTTGGTGACTTAGAGGCAGGGGAGTGGCTAGAATTGAAGACACCAACCAGAATTTTAATCAGAGTAGCTGAGACAGTGGTCACTAAAATCAGGGAGGAGTTGAGGGTATAGATAAGTTCTGTTTTGAGAATATTAAATGTGAGATGCCTAATGAGATATTCCTATAAATATCATGGGTATAGAACTTGGAATTTAAAGAGAGATTTGTGCTAGAGACATAGATTTGATAGTTTTTTCCATAGAAAAGATTGTTGAATCAAGAGAGTGTAGAGTAAGAATCTAAGTGAACAACTGGACTTTGAAAAGGAATGGGCCAGGCAGAGGAGCCAGTGAAGGAGAGGGTGCCAGTTGGGCCTATGCTTTGGAGGATAACCTAGAGGAAAATCAGCCACACCAGGGGAGGACAGTGGTCAAGGAATCTGGGCAGTTGCAAAGGCTGCAGAGGGGTTTGTGCAGGTGAGTGCTGGCAATCAGGACAGCACCCAGATCGCAGAAGGAGAATGGGAAATGAGCTGGAGGGAGCAGGTGTGGTCTGTATGTACAAGTTTGATGATGAAACAGACAGGGCTTCAGGTGAAAAGAAGGGTTATGAGAAGTATACTTTGAGCTAGCCAACTAATCTATTGATATATATATGTATATTAATGTTACAGATGCTTAATGTTAATGGAGTAAATCCTACTGGGAAATAGAAACAGTTTTGCATTTTCTCTCCATTCTAACCCCATGTACACATATACCTACCCTCCATTTTCCTCTAGGGAAGACAGTTACCTGAAGGTTGAGTGGTTTGAAAGCGTAGCCATTATGGATAGACTTAATTTTTTATTCTTGCTTTAGCCTGGCATGGTAGTTCTCAGTTTTGTGCATATATGGAAAGTGGCTTGACAGTTTCTTAAAAAATTAAATACGTAACTACCACATGACTCAGCAGTTGCACTCTAGGGCATTTATCCCAGAGAAATGAAAACTTAGATTCATGCAAAAACCTGTCTGTGAATATTCATAGCAGCTTTATTCATAAAAGCCAAACACTGGAAACAACCTACATGTCCTTCAACAGGTGGATGGTTAAACAAACTGTAGTATATGATGGAATATTGTTGTAGTTAGCTGCCATTGAGTTGCCCCCGACTCATGACAGTGCTGCGCACAACGGGGTCTGACTGTTGTGATCCATAGGGCCTTCCACTGGCTTACTTTCAGAAGTAATGGAATACCACACAGCAATAAAAAGGAACAAACTGTTAATGTATCCAACAACTTGGATGGATTTCAAGTGCTGAGTGAGAAAAGTCAATCGCAAAAGGTTATTTACTGTATGATTTCATTTGTATAACATTATTGAAATGACAAAATCACAGAAATGGAGAGTGGATTAGCAGTTGCCAGGGGTTAGGGATGAGGGAGGGCAACGGACATGGTTATAAAAGGGCAACAGGAGAAATCCTAGTGGCGGTGAAACTGCTCCATGTCTTGATGTGGTGATTGGTAAGGAACCTACATGTGCGATAAAATTGCATACACCTAAATACACACAAATACATACAGAGTAAAACTGGAGACATTTAACTAATACTGTTACTGATGGATTGTATCAGCATCAATATCCTGGGTGTCACATCGTACTGTAGTTCTGCAAGTTGTTACTGTTGGGAGAATCTGGTTAAAAGGTACAAGGGCTCTCAATTTTTTATGGCCACATACGAATTTACAGTTATCTCAAAATAAAAAGGTTTTTAAAGAGAAACCACAAAAAGTTACTGCATGAGTTGCACATGGAAAATCATGTAAACTACTTTAGAGCATACACAGGTTTTTAGGGGCCAGTTTGACTATCTGATTTTCTGCCTCACAAGTGAGTCCCTGAGTAACTCCAGTAGATAGGAGAAATTGGTGTTCAGAGCCCTGATGGAAGTAGCCTTGCTTGAAAAGGAGAAAAGCATGATTGTCTCTGAAGCTGAGGAGAGGGGTAAAGCGTTCATGAAAGTGCAGAGGAAGTTCTCTTTTGGGAAGGAAGTTGAGGAATTCGTATGGTAATCTTGAGTGTATGGTGAGGTCCACTAAGACAGTGTGAAGGTGGATTGGGTGACCTAGGGAGAGCAGAGGAGGTTTGAAACAGGTAGGCAGCTGAACTTGATAGACATGAATAAAAGAATGCTCAGTAGCGTGGTGCCGTCCCAGTTGTGATGGGCTGCATAACAAGCATGGTTTTCCTTTGCCTTTCTCAGAGCTCTTAGACCTGGAGATCCTGGATTCTGTGCTCGAGCAAGGGTCCCGATGCCCTCAAACAAGGACTACGTTGTCAGGCCCAAGTGGAACGTGGAAATGGAGTCATCCAGGGTAAGTGAGCAGAGGGAACAGCAAGGTTGATCTCAGATGCAAATTGCTATTTTATTTTGTACTTCATGTTTAATAACCCTTCCAGCACTTGAGGTTTATCTGGTTTAAAGAGATCCATTTTCTAGTCTCTTATCTATCCAAATCAGAATAAGAAGGAAGGAGAAGATTAAAGTTCACTGCTGTTGAGCTTTACTTTAGACTTAAAGCAAATCATCAAGTCAAGAAGCTTCTTATTAATCCCTCTGTTTCAAGTGAATCTTGAAGCCTGGAGTGTTTGGATACAGTCATGTTTTTTAGAACCATGACAAACAGAACATACCTGCTTCCTCACATCTACCCTTCCTTTTTTCTTCAACTGTTTAAGTAATTCTGTTGTGAAATATTTAGGATGGACATTTCCTTTGTAGTCATTTTAAGTATTACTCGGTGATCTTCATTGTTTCACAGTAATGTTTTTTTAATTCTATCAATCTACTCTTTCTAGTCTGGTATCCTTAAAAAGGGCCTAAGCCGGTTGGAAAAGCATAAGAGGCGATTTGCAGAACAGAAACGACTCAGCAAAGTGCACCGTGCTGTCAAGTTCAGCATTGAAGGCAACAGGATGCCCCTATAGGCCTAGCCCTGCCAGAGTGTGTCAGAGAGGTATCCCCAAGGAAGCATGCACTGTGCATGTGCTTTAATTGTCGACAGTCACAGAGTGAAAATGTGTGGTGTGTGTGCTTCCTTAACCAGAAAGGGCCAGGCCCACTTTTACTTTCTGAAATAATGACTCTTAACAGGCACTTTGTGGCATTCAAGCCCTCTTGAATATTTAGAAATTGACAAAGAAGTCCCTTCATTTATCTGTATGTACCCTAGTGACTAAAAGATCATTACTTTTCTTATAAGCATTCTGGTCTTCTTGGATGGTACTTGTTTTTATTAAAAAGGTTTTTGTTAGGGCCCAGAATCATAGGTGATCTGCTTTATAGGCATATAAACTGTTGGTGACGTCTGGTGGGAGGCGGGTGGCTTCTTTTCCTCTTGTCATTGCTCAGAAACACGCACTTGAGGACTCATTGCGTAAAGCCTATCCTTAGTGTTTGGAAAATGGATTTGTTCAATACACATTCAGTACCACTTAGAAATGAGAAAGACTGTGGGACATTCCTAAAGCCAGACTTACTAATCCACCAAGCTTTGAAATTGAAAATGGCGCCCTTGTTGTAATGTACCTGGAGAGTCTGTATGCTCCTTCCTTTTGTAACATCTCCGTGACCCCGGCTTTGGCAGCCGTTTCCATCAACTGTATTCTCACCTATGTGCCAATTGACTTTACTGTTAAGTGGCTGTCAGGGCAAAGCAACTTTCTTACTGAAAATAAAGGGTAGAGGAGTACCAGTCCATTGCCAGGAACGACCTCCTTTTTTAATTCCTTTTTTTTTTTTTTTCCTTACTTTCACCCATATCCATGGCCCTTAGCCACGTCTCCTTGGTATCCCATCTCTCCACCATTTCTTTATCTTCCTCTGCTTTTTCCACAGTCTCTTCCGTGCTTTTATCTCTCTCTTCCAGAATACTTTTCTTTCCCAATACTTCTGTTTTTGAGAATTGAGAGCTACAGTGTGACATAGAAAATGTAATACAAAATTTTAGTGACCATTCTACTTTGGAAACATGCCTCGTGTCCTGAAGGGCACTGTGCCTGCCTGCTGATATTGTCAGTTCCAGTCCAACTGTCCCTGTAGGTGGCAGGGAGGAGTGAAGAGGTGGCCCTACCTCCTGCTGGATCAGAGAGATGACAGCATGAGGAGAGAGAGAAGTCCATGGAGAGCTCCTTTCCTTCACTCCCAACACAACCCAAAATCATAATGTGCTGCTGTGTACCTAGGCCTGAGTCTGGCCTGTAGTGCTCTGTCAAAAAAGTAAGGTGTGTTTTGGGGCTGGTGGTCCCAACCAGTGCTCCATCCCTGCTTATCCTTAAACCACCTGATACTGTTTCCATAGTCAGGAAGATTTCTTGCACATGCACTCAGGACTTCCACACTGTACAGACACTAGTGAGCATCATTAAAAAACGTATTGTCTAAGAAGAAAATTGGAGGGAATTAACAGCTTTCAAGGAAAACTTTGTTTTCAGTATCACCTTTATTCTTAAAATTACATAAGTAAATATAAAATAATATATAATAACCCCCATTCGCAAAGCAGCTGCTCTTCCCTAAGTACCACTGTTAACAATTTGATGTTTTATATGTTTTTCCAGTAATGCTTCAAATTTCTTTCTGGTTTTAATTGTAGAAAAATTTGAGGTTATAAAGAGAAAAAGTTCACCCATGGTCCCATTATTTAAAAGCAGAGTTTGAGACATATTTTGCCTTTTCCTTTGTTTATATCTTAAATATAATTGAAATTATACTGTATATAATTTTGATCATTTTCCCTCATTAAACCTCCTTATGGATTCATTTTTAATGACTACATAATAGTCTATCATGTGACCATATAATAATTTGTTTAGTGATTCCACTATGGTTTCTGGTTTTTTGTCCCTAAAATCAGCCAGGTTCCATGGCTCTTCTTCAGTAATGACTTAATAGTTAGTGAATCAAAGGGGGGATCATTGAATTTGACATGTTAGGTTTGACACACTGACTGTGTTTTCTGGCTTGGGGTAACTAGGCATTTGCTAGCTCTGAGTGATCAGTGTCGTAACTATGAGTAGATTGGCGCTGGCCTGGGTATATCCCAGTTGCCGAGAGAAAACAGAGCAGTCAGGGTTCAGACTCTTAGAGAAGGTCCCAGGAGTGGGCAAGGAGCAGTCAGGCTGGTGTATACAGCTGCTGGGAGTTGGGCAGTTGGCAGAAATCCAAGCATGTGCAGTGTCAAATGTGGACTGAGGACACGTTATCTGAAAGTAAGTCACATATTTGGGAATGTCCAGTGAATCCAGGGGATAGGGTGGCAGTGGCATAGCTCTTTCTCATCTGACAAGTTTTTATGCTAACTCTGAGTATTACTAACAAAAGTTTAAATTGATAACATTAAAATGTTTAGAATTGGGATGTTCCTAGAACAGTAAAATCTAGGATGCATGGTTAACATGCCTCTTGTTCAAGAACGACTTATAGTTTTCTTGCCTAGTACTTCATTGACCTCCCATCTGCGGTGGAGTCTGAGTCCAGATGTGGGAAGAGAAGACTTTGGAGGCTCCCTGACTCAAAAGAACTTCTGAGTTGAACTTCAGAGTGATTCAGTAACAAACATCTTAGCAGAAGAATTAGAAATACCCATTTGTCTTTAACCACTCACCATTCTTAAAATCAACACAGTCAGCAAGTGAAGTTCACCCTGACCTTTGATGTAAATGGCAGACCTTTCGACATTTCTAAAAGGTGCTGGTTTCTTGGAGACCGTATCTTTGCAAGACATCTATCTGACCTTTTCAAAATATAAAAGAAATAGCTGAACAACCAAACCTTTAAACATAAAGGCCAAGTAGGAAGAGATGCTGAAATTTAAATTAGGTTAAGTCTGCCTTTCCAGAAATTCTGCATGCTCTTTTTAAGAAGTAGTAAGCCCCTTGGATCAAGAAATTTAATTTTCTTTTCTTTACACAACATTGGTTTTTGTGTTGAGTCTACTTAGTTAACTTAAATCTAGTTGATTACACAGTAGTGGTAATAATGGTAGTAGTATGACCTGATACTTACTTTGAGCACTGACCATGTACCAGCTACAGTACTTGAATTTTACATTACCTTGTAGTTCTGTGAAGAGTACAGACCAGAGCAGTGACTTGCCCAGGGCTGCAGAACCTGCCAAATCAAAGCAGAGATTCAGCCCAGGTCTGCAACTCCCGAGCTCCAGCACATACGGGTTTGCTCTACTAATCCTCTAACCTGTCTCGTTACACTAAGGGTTTTTCTAAGATGACTTCCCTTTGCCTTAGAAGAGCCTTACCTTTATGGTAGCACTGCTTGAAGGGTCTTTTAAAAGGAAAAGCAAATCACCAAAATGCCAGCTGATGGAATTGGGGGGATCATCATCTTAATTTTTCACCCTTTCTTTCATCAAGAAATGCCCATGGACTAAGCCTCATTAATAATAAGGTACAGACAACAAGAAAACCACGACTCTTCCCTGAGAGAGTTAGTTTGTGTCTGTAGCACTGCTGTGTGCACTTGCCCTACGTTCTGAGGGCTCCAAAGCGCGTTCCGGTGATTCTGGCACAAGGAGCCCTTCTGACAGCTGACTTTCAGATATAAGATGAAAGACAGAACTAGATTTATGTGTTTTAATTGCTGCTGTTTAATTCTCCCCCCACTCTTAGTTTCAGGGCACCTCCAAGAAGGGTATCAGCCGGCTGGATAAACAGATGAGAAAGTTCACAGATATCAGGAAAAAAAGCAGATCTGCACATGCAGTGAAAATCAGCATCGAGGGCAATAAAATGCCATTGTGACTGCGCCTGGGGCGGACCCGCATCTGTAAGAAATGCCTGAGAGACACTTTGGAAGAAGATGACGTTTTAAAATTTTTTTAGTGTATCTGTAAATGGTTGGTTCCACTTGTATTAAATGTTGTCATAGGACTAGCGTTTCTGTCAATTGTATTTAAAACTGTTTGTTGTGTACTTTGTACAGAAGAATATTAGTCATACTGCTATAAATTTTACACAATAAAATTCCTCTCTGGTTTTGGGGGGCTGTCTCTTCATTGTCTTAGAGTATACATTCTCAGTGGGGGCAAAAATTGGTTCTTGGGAGTTGAAAAAAATCTTAGATATTACAGTGGTTTGTGGCCCTCCAGAATCTTACCCAACAAAATTTTATTCCTTACCATTTCTCTTGTTAGGGAAAAATCTAATTCATTTTAATTAATGAATGTAAATTTAAATTTTCTCCTTAGGGGGACAGTAGTGAGGAAAAGGTTGAGAAATACTGCTTTAGAGGAAATCTGTATGCAGTTGAAAATCACTGTGAATTGCTTATAGCAGTTGGGTAACTGGAGTAGAGATAAGAATTGTAGCTGTATTTCCTGTTGCTCTGCTTTTGTGATTTTTTTTTTTTTAATTGTTCCTAAAGACTATTTTGAGAAATCCCTGCTGGGTCAAGATGACTAAATCCAAGAAAATTTATCATTAAATCGTCTTAATCATAGAAAATGTACTGTGATACAAATGGTGGGGGGGTAGAGTATCTGGCAACCTCAATTTTCAAAAACACGAGAATCTTACTGGCCATAAAGGCATTTGAACATCTAAAATAGCATGATGCTTTTGCACTAAAGCACTTTACTCATAAGAGAACCTCTCAGGGCCTGTTAACACTTAATTTCAACAAATTTTAGAAGCGCAGATGGCATAGTGAAGTTGCAAGAGATAGGTGCACTAAAGGCATTAAAAGGTAATAGCTAACCACCTAGTCGGAAATAGAAAAGCCTATATGATTGTCTGCAGCATGGTTTTTACTTTATATAAAAAACCCACTGCCTTCGAGTAGATGCCAGCTCCTAACAACCCTATAGGACAAAGTAGAACTGCCCCGTAGGGTTTCCAAGGCTATAAATCTTTAAGGAAGCAGACTGCCACATCTTTCTCCCTCAGAGTGGCTGGTGGATTCGAACCGCTGACCTTATGGTTGGTAGCCGAGGGCTTTAATGACTGTGCCACCGGGGCAGTGGTTATATAAATACCCTCAAAACACTTGCAATGACTCAAAGCACATCCATCTAGTCGAAGGCCTTACAGGCGTTCTGAAAGGCATAAGTAGTAGTTTTTAGGAAAGTTTGAATTGATTAGTACAGCCTGTTGCCATTTAATGGGGTAAGCACAAATTATCTGGACATTTATGTAGGGTAAAACCAGTGGTGCCTGGTAATAAGGCAATATTTTGGGAGTCAAAATCCTAAGAGAGACCCTCTTTTTAAAACTACTTGGTGCATGGTTTTAAGAAGTCTCAACCCTGGCTGACCAAAATAACTTAAAATTTTGAAAATACTTCAGATTTACGATAAAATTTCAAGAACAACAAATACACACTATTATACCCGTTACCAATGTTTACAAGTGTTAGCATTTTTTCATTTTGCCACATTTATCACTGTGTGTGTCATTTTGCCACATTTACTCCATCACCGTGTGTGTGTGTGTGTGTGTGTGTGTGTGTGTGTCATTTTGCCACATTTACTCCATCACTGTGTGTGTGTGTGTCTGGCCATCAAGTCAGCTCAGACTCATGGCAACCGTATGTATAACAATAAAATATTGCCTGGTCTTGCACTGTCTTAGTCGGTGTGTTTGAGTCCATTGTTGGCAGCCATGGTGTCAATCCATCTCATTAAGGATTGCCCTTGTTTTCACTGACCCTCTACCAAACGTGTCCTTTTCTAGCAATTGGTCTTTCCTGATGATGTACATACATATGTTTTTTTGAAAACTCATTTGAGAGTAACTTCCTGACATTTTGCCCCTTGATCCCCAAATACGCACGTTTCTCCCAAGAAGAGTATTTAATACTATCCAATATTAACACTCAGTTAACATGACCACTTGGTTCAGGTGGTACAGAATCACTTAAAGACTTCCAGGTTTTGTCCCAGAGTTAAGATAGAAATGAGATCCTGTAATTTCAGGTGCTTCTGATGATCAGTCTGATTGGAAACCAGTCTTGGATGAGTGTTTTCAGGGCAAGTTACTAACTTCTGTTGAGATTGTGACCAACAAAGGCAGAGCTCGGTGCTAGTGCAGTACTGAACAATTTCTTGGAGAGCATTGGATTAACCATTGTTTCCCAACTGACTTCTCACCCACCTCCTCTAGTGCAGTAACAGAAGCCCTCCAAAATCAGATTGACTGTGGGACGGGTAGAATGGAGTGTGGTATTACATGAATGTATGTTACCTACAGGTACATAAAAGGATTGTGGAGGTGTTAGGTGTCCTAAGAGGTAGGATAGCCTAGTGTAGTCATGGGCTGAAAATGTTACAAAAACAGATTTTTGTAGAGTCAAGGTAGTATAAGTTGGCTGACTGGCACTATTAAGCTATAGACATGCACTTGCGTGTTGATAAGCTTTTGAAGAAAGTAGTATGTGTCACAAGGTTACACCTGTATGCCTGTTTTAAGCAAACTCAGTACATAAAAGATTTGACCAAGGCTTGGAGGTCATTCTTTACAAAAGGATTCAACGTAAGATTCTTTTAAAACAGTTTTACTGCTTAAAAAAGTATAAGTGGAAATTGCCGCATTTAAAGGAGCACAACTAGTAAAAATGTCACTCACTTTAGGACAAAAGTGTTTGGGTCTGTGCTCCCAAGAACTAGTTCAGTTCTTACAAAGCATGGTATGCTGGGCCTGAAATGGTCTTTACCTGGTACAACTGCAGCTATGAATGCAACAAGTGAGATTCAAATGGACAGATAGATATCCCTTGAGTTTATTGACTAGAGAGCAGTGGGAAAGGCTTTAAGTAAAATAACTTTGTAAAATGTTTCGTTATGATAGCATGTTAAAAAGGCATTGGATTGGGAATTAGGAAACCTGGAGTTTTGGTCTCCAATACGTGGTTGTGAGTGAGGGAAATTGGTGTTCATCGTTTGAGAGTCCTGAAAGGAGAGGGATGCTTCTCTGCTCTTTGAGAGAGGAGTGATTCCTTTGTAATTCTGTGTTGCGTGCTTTGGGCAAGCAGTTAAGTTCTTTGACCAGAGATAACATGGAAATGGGCTGAATTCCCCAGACCAGATCTGGAGGAGGCCCACAGAAGAGGCTAGAAGGTCAGTGTAAACGCTGGTCTTTTGAGAAGGACTACGCGGAAGTTGACCAATGTAATCATCTGTGTCTATATCCTGAGCTGGCCTACTCTGAAATCCATGTCAGTAGGAAGCAGTGGCCAAGTAAAATAGACTAAGCTCCTGGAGGGCAGGGGCCAGGTGTATCTGGTTATCTCTGATTACGTTTGTTGAACTATAGCGCTTAGCATTTTTACATCAATCGTACTTAGTTCTATGACACTATATTATCCCAATTTTAAAGATGAGGAAAGTGGTGCAAAGAGTCTAAGGTACCCCCAAGTGGTGAGTAGCAGCAGAGCCATAGTTCAAGCTGAGTCTCCTGACTTCAGATCCTGTGTGCTTTTCAGGTCCCCTTATTAGATGGATCTTTTCCACGTGGAGTTTGTGATAGCTTTTATCATTCAGATGTATTCTTTGGCTTTTATTTCCTGACCTTTCCTAGTTATTGCTATTTTGTTTTTATTGAGGAAGTCAGAGAAAAAACTGTAAATTGGATAAAACCATGTAAGGGTTTCTTGAGAATATAATGATGTTCAATATGAAAGAAGAGGAAACAAATACAATAGAGTTTCAGCATAATATTAACCTTAAGAATTTAGATAGAAATTGATCTCATATCAACCAATTAAAACATTTTAAAGCAAAAAAAAAACAAAAAACCTTGTAAGGCAACCCCATGGCATGGCATAGATGGCATTCTAAGGAGTATTCTGTACATTTCTCTACTGACATTGTGCCTACCAGGTGTTATGTCCTACTATGATCTTTACACACATTACCCTATGTAATTTTTATAAAAATTGGTTCAAAGTGAAATGGCTGCCCCAAGTCACACAGTAAATAGCAAGCAGTCCGTGGATCTAAAGTTAATTCTTCCTGCCTCCAAAGCTTTCAGTTATGCTATTTCTGAGACTTGAAGGATATATGCTTAGTGTTTGCATGTTGAGCCTCAAGTTGCTCTTGGATCTTGTTAAACTTGTAACACAGTCATCATCTGAAGTGAGCACCTGTGTCCATTCTTTTCCAGCTTAGCTGTTACAGCTCCCTGTAATCATACCTTGAGCAATAAAAGGAAAGCCTCGGATGTTTATAAAGCTGATACCCTGAGGAAGAGTCTCAGTGTGTCAAGGCTGGGGAGGAGCTGGGACTCAGCTGCACTGGTGAGTAGTTAGGTGACAGTAGTCAGGTGTCTTCCGACATCACATTCACTGATTCTTGTTGGGGCTGAGGATCTGGGGGAAAAGTCTCGAACTTTGCTCACAACTGGTCTGATAAGACACAGTGGTTAAGAGCTCGGCTGCTAACCAAAAAGGTCAGCAGTTCAAACCCACCAGCCTCTCCTTGGAAACCCTATGGGGCAGTTCTGCTTTGTCCTGTAGGGTCGCTATGAGTCGGAATCGACTCAATGGCAGTGGGTTTTGGGTTTTTTGTTTTGTTTTTAGTCTGACAGGCAAAGGTGGCTATGGCACAGGCCCATTTGCAGACACTGGGAGCCCCAAAAGCATATTTATCCTAAGAGAAGGACTAGTCTAATAAAGCGAGCCTGTTCCAGGTATATCCTGACCCAGCCAGTTTTGCTCCCTGGGAGGAAAGGACTGTGAATGTGAACTAGCAGCTGTGTCGATGGATGCTGTAACACTGCAGCCAGAAAGTTTTGCTGTGGAACAGCCCCCTCATCAGAACCCAGAGGGAATGCAAGAAACCTCTCAGGATTATCTCCAGCATTGAGGCACAGTTGTGGCTTTTTGGATCCACTGGGAAAAGCCCTGCAAAATCTCTGAATGCTAGATACTCAGATGGTGATAGGAGTGGAGCTCCCCCTTGGGGCATATCAGTAGACCCATCAGAGCCTGCAGCCATTTTTATATCTTCTTTGCAGAGATGTCTACAGTATTCCAGTTGCGTGCAGCAGCTTGACCTGACCAGGCACAGCCTCTGATACAGGATCATGTGCACACCTTCAGGATTCCTAGAAATACTTGGCCAGGTAGGATTTTTTTTTTTTTTTTTTTTTTTGAGGTGAGACTTACTACATTTGCATAAGTGAGAACTCAGAACCATTGAGATGTTGATATTAATAGAAATCAAGTTCATTTGTACTCATTAAGAACAGGAAAATTTTCCTTCCTGGTGCACTTTAAAATAGGTAAATGGTTATGGTTTTCAAAAAGCCCAAGAAAGTTATCGATTAGTACTAGTTTGCATCTTCGTTAAGGAATGGTTAAGCCCTGTGTGGCCCTGTGATCTGTATCACACAACCGCTTCCTCTCCCCTCCGCCTGCCTTCCATCTCCCTGCCTCCATTGCCTCTGATCTCCCCTCCTACCACGCTTCCCCTTGCTCACCCAACTCCAGCACGCACTGGCTGGCTTCCAGTTCTTTATAGGTACACAGCACCTAATTCTCACCTCAGAGCCTTTGTGCTTGCCAGTCGCCTTTATCTGTATCACGCACCACTACCCCACCTCCACCTCCTGCCCCAAATATCCATGTACCTTGCTCCCTCACTTCCTTCAGGTCTCTGCTCAAATGCCACCTTAGCTGTGAAGCACTCCCTGAACTTCTTATAAAAAAGATCAACACCTGTTCCCTTGCTTTATACCCCTACCATGCTTGATTTTTTTCCAAAGCACTTTACACCGTGTGACATACTTCATATTTACTTGCTAGTTTGTTTATTGAGTGTATCCTCATTAGAATGTGAGCTCCATGAGGGCAGGAACTCCGTCTGTTTTATTTGCTGATGTACCCCCAACACCCAGAACAATAGTACACACTTAATAAGTTTGGTGGATGAATGGCCCTACTTCTTATTATTTTCATTTAATAGTTGATTCATTCAACAAATACTGAACCCTCCTATGTGCCAGATACTGCTGAATAGCAGGGAGCCCACAGTGAACAAGATAGCCTCTGCCCTTAATAAGGTCACAGTGTGAGGAGGGAGACAGGTAAACAAACCTAACTCTAAATTCAGTGTGGTCGGCTTCACTAGGGCACAACTGGAGATCAGGGAAATGAGATGGTGTTGATTCATAAAGGGTGAGGTTGATAACAACATACAACACATTAGCATTTATCCAGTGCTTACTATGTGCCACCTCCCCTAAGTAGTATCTCATTTAATCTGCTTAACAGTTTTATGACATAAGTACTAATATTACCTTTATTTTAGGGATGAGGAAACAGGCTCAGAGAGGGCCATGGTCACAGAGCTAGTAATTGGTGGCGCTGAGATTCAAACCCAGTTCTTT